GGATTTAATTCAGGAAGACTAGAACAATTTACGCACGAGAGCTGACTATACTAATATACCTAAGAATGGAAGATTGAAAATTCAACCAGCTATCACTAATCCTCCGCATGTCTAGTAAGAAATTTGGTTGATGCTTTTTTAGACTAGTCTTTCACTCAATGGGTGGTCCGTGAAAAGAATACATAGTTGAGTGATTATCTGAGATATTATTTTTGATATATTTGTAGTAAAACATCAACATGCATGTATGATCTTTTTTTTTTAAAAAAAAGGCAAGGAAAGGGGAAATGGAAAATGGAGAGAAATTACAAGGTGGAAAATCGAACTTTCATTACGTGGGAGTATGATTCCTCAACAAGCATATGTATGATCGTTACTATTTACTGATAAAAAATTGTTAAAATTTAAATATGAACACCAGCTGTAATCAATTAGAATATAGTAGAGGTGTTAAAATTGAGCTCAATTATAGGTAATCCATCTAATCCGTCCATAATTTTAAGGGTTGACTCAAGATAATTTGAGTTAGGTTCAATCTCAATTCATTCAATCCTAACTCATTTTAAGAGAATCTTCAAATTAGTCCAATTTAATCCTTAATTTCAATATTATATTTAAGGTATGAATTACTATCCATTTTATATTTTTTAAGATTTATCTATCCATTTATAACTTCCTTTTTTTAAAATTTTCTTGAGTTGGAATTCAAATTATGGTTATAAAACCTAAATAACAATATATTATAATAATGGGCAAATTACAAAAATCACATACTTTTAACGCAAAATTACAATTTATCCCTTAAAAGTTTATAATTACAGAAATCCCTCAAACGAATACAATAATATAGCACTGATACATTAATCTGATGCGCGAGATACATTACATTTTATACATGATACACTAATCTGATGTACATTTTATACATGATACACTAATCTAATGCGCGAGATACAATAATATAAGCGCTGATACATTAATCTGATGCACGAGATACACTAATCTGATGCGCGAAAATGAGGGATTTTGGAGATTTGTAAAACTTATAGGGGATAATGGTAATAAGTAAACTAAAAGGTGGGATTTCTGTAATTTTTCCTATAATTATTGAGATTAAGTGGGTCAAATTGGGCTGGTCAAGACCCAACCCATTTTAAGCCCATTTTAGCTTAAAGGAAACTTGAACGAGTCAGGACCCAACTCAATTTCTATTTTCAACTCATTTTAATATGGGAAAATTACGCGATTAAGCAAACTTATACTACTTAATTACTCATCATAGCTATAGTTTGCTATAATTACCACTTGCGACTAATATTATACATTAATTACATGGGTTGACTTCGAGTTTGTATAATTAGTCACGTTTGTATATGTATAATTCGCCACATCTGTATAATTCACAGCTAACAATTCTTTGTTTGATTTGTATTTGTATACAGTTGTTTGTATTTGTATATGACGACGATTTGCTTTGATTTTTCAGTTTTGTCATCATATACATTCAATCTTTTTGTGTATAACTTTTAAAAGTTTGTATAAACGTGTAGTTTTGGATTTTGTATAATATAGTTTATATAATGTAATTTGTGTAATATATTTTGTATAATTGTTTAAAGTTCATACGTTTATGTTTGTATCAATTCGTTATTTCGAGTTTTATTATATTTGTATCATTCCAAACTTTATGTATATACTACCCAATTATACAAAAACACGTGAATTATACAAACGTACCTGCGAATTATACAAATCTCTCTCCTCCCTTTCCCAATCTCTCTCGCCTCTCTCCTCACTCACCTCTCTCCTCCCTTTCTCAATCTCTCTCACCAGAATATACAAATACATATGTATAATATACAATTATCTAACTGATATACATATATAATTCACCTCTCTCCCACTCTCTGCCCTCTCTCGCTCGCCACTCTCCTCCCTATAACATGTAGCTACAAATCGTAATTAGCAAATAATAGTTATAAAGTATAATTAGACTATTTTTAAATGGCTATATGCAGGGGCGGACCCACGTAGTCAGTTTTGGGTGCTCGAGCACCCATTGATTCCGGAATTTTTTTTGTATATATATATAGAAAATATGATAAATACGTTATTAAAGAAAAATAAGCACCCATAGAACACTAGCAGTCGTGGGTGCGCTGGTTAACACTTGGAAAAATAAGGCGCACGAAGCAAGAGGGCGAGGGTTCGAATCCCGTCAGCCCCATTTTTATTTATTTTTTAACTTTTTCCAGCGAATTTTGCACCTTTTTTTTTACTTTTCCTTTTTTTAATTAAGGGCTTATTTTATTCCGAATTTTGTACTTGTTTTGACTTTTCCTATTCTTAATTAGTTTAGGGTGACTAACTTTTTCTTTCTTTTTTATTTTTAACCTTTTCTATGTTTTAAAACCATTTCCACTGCCCACTTTTATGGAATTTTTTCTTTTAACAAAAAGAGGAAATCATTCTTCTTCTTCTTCTTCTTATTGTTTCAAAGAGAAAGCAGTCAGCCCAACAACAAACTTCAAGCTTTTTTCTTTTCAAATCAAAATACAAAAGCAAGGTAATAAAATTTGATGTTTGATTAAAGTTAGATAATGAAAAAAAAGGGTTAGGGAAATTAGGTTTTGAGATTTTCATTGCTTATGGCTAGTACTCTTTAAGTCTTAATTCTTAAAATATATTCCACATACTTTTTTTTGTTACTTGATAAATAGATTTAGACTTTAGAGTGTCACATATTTAGTGTTTTGTGATTAAAAATATATTTTTTTGAATACTTTTGAAATAATTTTTTTTCTTACCAACTTACTTGATTCAAAAATTAAATTTTAAGATGTATACAAATAACAAATTGTGCAATTGAAAATTTTGTGCTCATTGACTCATATATTGCTAATTATTGCTTGTGGTGTTGAAAGATCAAATAGATATATTAATTGTTGTTTGGGTTGTTGATAGAAAGTTATAGATTTCAATAAAAATTAATTGAATTATGTGAATTAATTCTATGATAAAATTGATTTTTTTGCAGAAATTTATCTTTGTAAATTGAGATGGATAAGTATGTCACAAGATCGAAAATTGGGCATCCAAGTTCTAGCTCTACTCATCCATCTACCGCTTCAACCATAGCTCCGAAAATTCAAAGGAAAACATTTATTTCAGATGTTGATTTAGAATCTCTTGAAGCTGATCCGGGAATTAGAAAGCCCATTGCAGAATATAATCCTAATATACGTGATGATATTAGGAGATATTATATTCTTAAAAAGCCTTGCCAACCTAAGGATCATAAATTTCCTAAAACTAAGTTCGGGAAGGAAATGCGGCAATTTTTTCCTGATTGGTTTAATGGTCGTAAGTGGTTGGAGTATAGCATAACAAAAGATGCTGCATTTTGTTTGTGTTGCATTTGTTTAAAAATGAATGTGAAAGTCGTGGATATGTGGTTGATGCTGCTTTCACAAAGACTGGCTATAGAGCTTGGAACAAAGCTACTGAAAGATTTAGAGCTCATGTTGGAGATATAAATAGCATCCACAACAAGTGTTTCAACAAGATGCTTGATTTGATGAATCAATCACAGTCAATACGCACGTCCTTTGATAAAAAGTCCAAGAAAGAAAAAAGTGAGTCTCGGCGTCGCTTGAGTGCTTCAGTTGATGTGACAAGATTTCTCTTGAAATTAGGATTATCATTTCGTGGACATGATGAGAGTCGATCTTCTTCAAATAGAGGTATTTTTCTTGAACTTTTGCAATGGTATGGAGATATTAATGAAGATGTTGGAAGCATTATTTTAGAAAAAGCTCCAAAAAATGAAATGATGTGTTCTCCAAGTATTCAAAAGGATATTATTGATTCTTGTGCTAAGGAAACAATCAAATCTATTCTTGAAGATTTAGATGGGGATTATTTTGGGATACTAGTCGATGAATCAAGGCTTAAGTCATACGTAGCCCCTTAAAGTTGTCCGCATAATTCACTTAGACACTTTAACTAAGACTAGTACCTATTGAACACTTTTATTATTCAAAACAAGTACCTATTGAACACTTTTTGCTGACTTGGCAAGGAAGGTGCAAATCACCTACGTTTAGCGCGTCAGAAGGGTACTTTTAGTTTTTTTTTTAATTCTCTTTCTTCTTCCTTCTTCATTAGTCATAACTTCTTCAACGCCACCACCTTTTCCATAGCTGCCGCCGATGTTGCCACCCCCATCGCCAATCTTATTCATCGGAAAAGTTCCTTTCTTTGTTTTCTTCTTTAAAAGTTTAAATCTGTACTCAAATAAATCAGATCTAAAAAAAAGAAAAGAAATCACCTCTCCTTCTACCTTTCTCCATGCTTTGCTTAGATGATTATGTAGTCAATGATTTCATTGGTATCTAAAAAACTATAGGTGGTTCATGTATTGATTAATTTTTATATATATGTAATTTGCTATTTTCAACTTTTAGAAAAATTAGATCTGAAAAATAAAATCGTTGAATTAAATGGGTTGGAAGGTGACGACGACAATGGTGGCCGGACGGAATGGCATTTTGAAATCAAGAATTTCCATCGATAAGTTAAATCATTTGAATTGTGAATCTTTCCCTACTGATCATCAATAAGTTAAATCATTTGATTGCTCAGAGATAAGGTGATGTCTCCACTCCATAGACATGAGATGAATTAGTTGTTCATCATTAGTTTTGTAGTTGATTCCACTGCAACTTCCTTTTCCTTTGTTTCTTCTTTTTTTTCCCCTCAAAACGCCACATGTACGTCACTTATTTGTCAATTTGCCATGTCAGCGCGAGTGTATTACACACATTTATATCTTTTAGCTGATTGTCAAAAAAGTGTTTAAAAGGTTCAAATCCGAATAAGTAGAGGTGTTCAATAGGTACTAGTCTTAGTTAAAGTGTCTAAGTGAATTATGCGGACAACTTTAAGGGGCTACGTATTACTTAAGCCATGAATCAAAGAATGTATCACACAAGGAGCAAATGACACTTGTTTTAAGATATGTTAACAAAGAAGGAGAAGTGATAGAACGATTTGTTGGTATTATTCATGTTAGTGATACATCTGCCTGTTCATTAAAGGAAGCAATATACTCTTTTCTTTCAGATCACTCATTAAGTCCATCGCAAATACGTGGGCAAGGTTATGATGGAGCTAGCAATATGCAAGGACATCTAAATGGTCTTAAAACTTTGATTTCAAATGAGACTCCATCGGCATATTGCATTCATTGTTTTGCCCACCAATTGCAGTTAACACTAGTGGCTCTTGCAAAGAAGGATTCAAATGTAGATGACTTTTTTTGCTTAGTTACTAATGTGTTAAATATTGTTGGAGCATCTTTTAAGCTCAGGGATTTACTTCGAAAACACCAAGCTGAACAGTTAGAGGAGTTGCTCATATCAGGGGAAGTGCATATTGGGTGAGGATTAAATCAAGAACGTGGGCTTCAGCGGCCAGGTGATACTCGTTGGGGTTCTCATTGTAGAACATTAGATAATCTTATTGTTCTATTTCCATCAGTTATTCATGTGCTTGAATTTACTGGATGTGAGTGTCCAAACTATACTGATAGACTTCTTGCTAAAACTCTTATGGATACGATTAAGAAGTTTGATTTTGCCTTTATGCTGCACTTGACGTGGAAAGTTCTTATGATGACAAATGAATTGAACTTCTCATTACAAAGGATGGATCAAGATATTGTCAATGCTATGAGATTTCTTGCTCTTACAAAGCAAAGATTACAAAATATGAGGGATAATGAATTCGAATCATTAATGGATGATGTCTCTTCTTTTTGTGATAAACATGATATAGTCATTCCAGAGATGGATGCTAGCTACTTTCCTGGGAAGTCAAAGCGTAAAACTCTTGATGTTACATATTCTCATCATTTGCGTGTTGAAATATTTTATGTTGTTATTGATTTGCATCTTCAAGAGCTTAATAATCGTTTTGATGCTGTGAGTACTGACTTACTTCTCGGTATGACTAGTTTGAATCCAGTTAATTCATTTGGTAGTTTTGATAAGGGCAAGATAATGAGGTTGGCTGAATATTATATGAATGAGTTGGCAGCAACAAGCTTTGGGATCTTAGTTTTCAGCTTGATAGCTTTATAGTTTATGTCCGTGGTTCTGACAAGAGGTTCTTCAACTTGAAGGGAATTAGTGATCTTGCTAAAGTATTGGTCAAGTCCGATTTGCATCAAATTTGGCCACTTGTTTATTTGCTTATCAAGTTGACTCGCATTCTTCCCGTTGCTACTGCTTCTGTGGAACGAGCTTTCTCATTCATAAAGTACATTAAAAATGAACTTCGCAATAGTATTGGTGATGAATTTTTGAATGGTTGTTTAGTTTGCTATGTAGAGCGTAAGATATTCGCAAATGTAAGCAATGATGCTATTATTTATCGTTTTCAACATATGAAAAGTCGTCGAGCACAATTATAACTTTAAGACTAGAAGTCTCTTTTTGTAATGATAATATTACTAGTAGGTCATTGTGACTTATAACTAGTGGTTGTTTTTGATGATGATAATATTAATCGTTGTTTAATTTTTTTTACTTTTTTTTATTAAAGAGTTTGAGTTAGTATACGTTTACTTTTTTTATTAAAGAGTTTGAGTTAGTATACGCTTACACTATGTGATTGCTAACATGTTTATGTTAAAGGAAGTGAGCACCCACAACCTTTAAATCCTGGATCCGCCATTGGCTATATGCAAAAGTTCTTATTTTAATATCTCTAATTTCAACTCAACCCAACACATCCATTTGATACGCCTACCGTATTCCATTATGGCAGTTTAAATGCATCTTCTCTTCTTCTTCTTTTTTTCCTTTAAACACCAATCGGAATTTTGTCGTTTATCTACTTTGGAAAAGAAAAAAAAACACGGAGAAAAAGTAATCTCATTTTCCACTGGCTTAATAGGCGGAGGGAATTTGAGGAGACTCCATTTGCGCATAATTTACGAACACCACAAAAGTAAACTTTTTTATTTGTTATTTCTTCCTTCTTTATTTACTTGTTTAATATTTTCTAATTTAATAATTTTTTTATTTATTATTTTTGACAAATTAAGAATAATTTTTTTTTTATTATACTCTCAATATATTAATATAGAGTTAATATCTTTAAAAAATATAAGTGAGTAAATATATTTGAGATTCTATCAATTAATAGAAATAAATGGTAAATTCATTATACCAATCAATATTTTTTTAATAGATATATCAAATCAAAATTTTAAAAAGACGAAGAGAGTATAATCATTGATAGTATTGACCAGACTAATTCAAGTTTGAGGCAGTATATATGTTCTTTAATAAAGGAATTTCTACATTTACGTTGTTCAAACTCAAAAGCTTTAATTAATATTTTAATTTTTGTGATTGGTTAAAAGTAGAAATTACTTTTTTTGTTTATTTTACACGATATATTCTCTATTAATTGATATTTAATATTAAATCTTCAAAAATAATTTGATGAATAAGTAATTAATACAAATAGTAAAACATGAATTTTTTAATCTTTTCTTTATATATTAAAAGTGATAAATAAAAATAATTTTTTTATTGGAATATAATGGATAAATAAAAAAAAAACGGATGGAGTACTATATTATATTCGTGGTAATTAAGTACGTAAGAACGCAAGCGGTGAAAACTTCTCCGTTGACTTGACATGGACGAAAGGAACGACTGGGCGCTGGGAAAATGCAACAACATAGCGTTTATTGAGTTAAATAAATTTTATTTGGTGAGAGACACAAAGTGAGTGCTGGATCGGTATGAAATTTGGTGAATGTGAATCCATTCTAGTATTTTTCTTGCAGAAATTTGTTTTGATATTAGTGGCTATGACCAATGAGATTCGATATAAGCACCTTTGTGTGCTTTGCTATCACATTAAAGTGTGTGACCAGTTCTTGCAGACAGACTTCCTTCTAGGATGGGCTTTCTTATCAAAAAGATTTAGAATAAGGGATTTTCCCCGTTAAAACACTCCGTTGATTGCTTTGATGATTGTGACCTTGTATCTAAAAAATTAAATTATTAGAAAATATATTTTTTATTATTTAATTATACTCTCAACAATACATACAAGCAAATTTTCTCTATAAAAAGTTTCATATTTTGCTATATAGTGCTAGAAGGCACTCCAGGTCAATAGTTACTTTTCTAAGTTACTTGTTTCAATCCAAATTTATTTTTCTATTTTTCCCTAAAGAGGTTTAAGATAATTATTAGTATTCAATATTTGTATTTGCATATATAATAATTGATAACATTAATGAAAAATACAAATTTAGATTAACAAAAGTTTATTATCTCTTTTGATATATAAATACTCTGTAAAATTAATAATAAGTCAAAAAACACTACAAATTAAACACATCATGTGACATTATTATGATATGATAAGTATTCTTTCATTCTTAACCATAGATCTCGAATTCAAGTCCTGAGCAAATAATCGCCTTTCTAGGAGCCGTTTTACCCCTAATACTTTCTAACTAGTGCAAATTTGAAGTTAGTTGGGCACAAATATGCATACGTATACTAGATGAGTAAACCAAAAAAATAGAGTATTTTAACATTTGTGCTGCAATCATGGTCTTAAAATTTTGAATCCGTTTGTCACTCACACAACAAATAATACTCAAGTGGGGCTTTATGTTAAAGAAAATGAATAATTCAAAATTCTAGACAAAAAATTTTCACCAACAAAATTATAACTAGATATAGGTTTATTTTGTAAAATGTGTATCCTCTTTTAGGAGCGGTGCTGTTGCACCATTATATTATGCCAAGATTATAAGATCCAAATTGTTGCTAAACACATCTACACAGTACATATTGTGTAATTAACTAGTTTAGTTTCTATATAGTACTTAAATTGAAACTTCCTAGACAAGCATATATAAGACTAGTACAGTGCAATCCAGAAGTCAATAATAATCTGGAAAAAACTAAAGTAAAGAATACATACTTGAACATCAAATTTTCATCAATAAATCTAAAAATCCAATCAATCAAGACTACTTTTCCAAAACTCTTGGGGTCCAGTTGTTGACTAAAAAGTAGGTTAATTACAACCGTTAACCTACAATAGAATTTCTCATCGATCTACGCCACTATATAAACGCCTTGCTACTGAAGACATAAAATGCAAGCTTCTTACATAAATATCTTACAACAATATTCTTTTGATCTAACACCTATAATTTTCCCCTCTACAGTAACCATGGCTATGAAAATTGATTTGATGAGTATTTTAATTACACTATTCTTTGTAATTAGCATGTTTAACTCTCAAACAACAGCAGCTCGCAGCCAGCCAAAACTATCCGTGTCTGAGAGACACGAGCAGTGGATGTCACGTCATGGACGCGTTTACAAGGACGAAGTAGAAAAAGGAGAACGATTCATGATTTTCAAAGAAAACATGAAATTCATTGAGTCGATCAATAAGGCAGGGAATCTGTCTTACAAGTTAGGCATCAATGAATTTGCAGATATTACTTCAGAAGAGTTTTTGGCTAAATTTACTGGATTAAACGTACCTTCATATCTTTCACCTTCTCCAATGTCATCAACGGAATTTAAGATTAATGATCTTAGCGATGATGACATGCCGTCTAACTTGGACTGGAGAGAGTCTGGAGCTGTCACTCAAGTGAAGTATCAAGGTCGATGTGGTAAGACGCAATATATATATATCACTTTAATTAATTAGCTCATGAAATATTATTCACTATAAATTTGATATTAATTAGGTATTTTTGTATGTTAGGATGTTGCTGGGCGTTTTCTGCGGTTGGATCACTAGAAGGAGCCTACAAAATTGCAACAGGCAACTTGGTGGAATTCTCTGAACAAGAACTTCTCGATTGCACCACCAACAATTATGGCTGCAATGGAGGTTTCATGACGAATGCATTCGATTTCATCATAGAAAATGGTGGAATTTCAATTGAATCAGATTATGAATACCAAGGTCAACAATACACATGCAGAAGCCAAGAGAAAACAGCAGCAGTGCAAATAAGTAGTTATCAAGTCGTGCCTGAAGATGAAACATCACTATTACAAGCCGTAACTAAACAACCAGTGTCAATTGGAATTGCTGCTAGCCAAGAATTACAATTTTACGCCGGAGGAACTTATCACGGAAGCTGTGCCGATAGAATTAATCATGCTGTTACGGCGATAGGATATGGAACTGATGAGCAAGGTCAGAAATATTGGTTGTTGAAGAATTCATGGGGAACAACTTGGGGTGAGAATGGATTTATGAAAATTATAAGAGATTCTGGGATTCCTGGAGGTCTTTGTGATATCGCCAAGATGTCTTCTTATCCAAACATAGCATAGATAAGCAAGCATTCTATCTGTTTTAATTTCTTATATATATGTTAAGTTGTTGTATTAAGAATTGAAAAAAATATTGATTGTGTACATGCAAAAGCTTTTTGCATGTAGTAATTGTGTCTTTTGTATTAATTGGAACTTTATGAAGTTATTAAAAAGTGTATTGATTAATATTATATCATGAAGCAAAAAGAGTAATTTTGTGTTTTAATTTCATATCCACTTATTAATTAATATTATATGACTTAGTCCTATATTTAGTAATAATTTACTTTAAAATACTCATCTATGACTTATTTTAGATCAGAAATTTCAAAAATATTCCTTTTTTCTAAACTCTATGTCAAGTCAAACTAAGTCATATAAATTGAAGGGTGTCAATGATACGGTTCCGTCGGTTATTTTTTAAAAATTATACCATCCTTATTTTTTTGGATATTTTATAATATATAACCAAAATTAGACTTTTTAAAACCATCCCAATCATATCGGTTTCTCTTCAATATCGGTACGGTTCGGTTCGTTTTCATTTTTTTTTTTTACTTTAAAAATATCACCCCAAAATATACTACTATTAATATATTTCTTTCACAAATATGTTCTTGAAGAAGCAATTTAATTCTTCACCAAAAAGACAAGAATGGAAAACCTTGTTGCCGTATTGTTTGATCTTAAATATTTAATAGGAGTGTTTGGATAGGTTTTGTTGTATTGTTTGATAGAGTATCTATTACAATATC